AGTGGGTGAAAATTCAAATGAACCTTCACGGAGGTTTCCTTGCCAGGATCGCCTGGTTCTTTAGGGGTCAGGGGTCAACTAGGAACCACTGAGCAAATGCGGGTGAGTCTGATCCTGGCCGGCTCATCTCCAGGGGTGAAGTTTAGATCCAGGGGACCCAGGTGGCTGTGGGGAAGAGGGAGCCCCTGGGGTAACAATAATCCCAAGCCAGCACAAGAACAGTGTCACGCACGTGAGACTTTTCCTCCAAGCTCAGTTTATTTTTTAACCCAAAAGGTAAAAAAGTAGCAACTTGCTGGGAGTTAATTAACAAGCCAGGCAAAGCTCCCAGCGCCTGAGCAGGCAGGTGAAGAATTGCCACCCCTGAGCCCTCAGCGAGACCCTGGAATCTCGTATCGATAATATAACAGGGAGAACTGCAGAAAGCTGTCGAGGAGTGATGGGGACCTCTCCGAGACCCTCCGGAAGCCCATGCTCTCGTATAGCTGCTGGGCCGAGTAGTGAACCATGAAGGTGGCCAGCACAACGGCACTGTACCCGCGTTCCTGGGCGAAGCGGATGACCGTCCTGCAGAGCGCCTTGGCGATGCCCCGGCCCCGGTACTCCCTCCCCACGGACATGCGCTTCAGTTGCAGGGCGTGCCCCCTTTCCGAGGGGTCGTCCGGTAGGACGGCACCCACCATGCCCACCACCGCCCCCTCAGCCTCTGCCACCCAGAGACAAGAGTCTGCTGCCTCCAGGTAGGTTCTCCGGATGTCCAGTAGGTTGTTGCAAAGAAACTGCTGGGCGTAATAATTCCAGAGAGACCAGATGCAAAACCAGGCCCCAGTGAGAGCGAGCAGGAGAGCCAGGAGGGAGACCAGGACGGACCCGGAGGCCGCGAGCACCGCCAGGAACAGGCCCAGGAAGTGCAGCTGGGCCTGGGGATGCTTCAGCATGTGGATGTACGCAGCAGGAGTGTGCTCCATAATCCCACGTCCGAACATGGTGCACACGGCCTCGTAGTCACCGTCCTCGTACTGCCGGATGCGGAACGGGGCCATGGGGCCGCTCAGCCCAGGCACCCTAGGGCAGACAGAGTTTAAACCAGGGGAGCGGGTTGGGACATTGCTGATCCACTGGCCACTTCCCACAGTGTCCCTGGCTTCTCGCTGCACTGGGCTCCCCCCCCAGTGACTCCTGGCAAACACCTTCCACGCCTCCACCCACCACCCTGCCATCTCAGCACCCACCCATCAGCCCTGCTCTGCAAGAGGAGCACCAAGAACGGGTGGGGGGCGGGGGGGACAATCTCTCCCAGGGGCTCAGGATAGAGGGGCTGGGGGGCAGGGCAGGGGGCTTCACTAGGCAGACGCTGCCCCTTTAAACCCCAGCCCTAGCTGGCGACAGGCTGGCCGTGGAGGTTCCATGCCCCAC